CAAGAGAAAGGGCAGACTGGTTGGGAGACAGCACTGCACAGGTGAGGAGCACGTACTGACCAACTCCTGTGCACAGACCTCGCCGCAGGTTAACCTAATCAAAACCCAAATTGGAACAGTGCTTACCTCTGGGGACCTGGGATAGGAACAGGGCAGCAGGAACCTTCTGGAGGATAGAGATGTCTTTGATAAGGGCTTGATCAGGCAGATGTGTGGTAGATTAGGCCAAGTTTTGTTGAAACTCACTGAATCATAGGTTAACACCTGTGCATCTCACTAGATATACATAACACCTATTTTGCCTCCAGGGGAAAAAAGAACCTGGGAAACAGTACTGGACTCTATTTAACGATGTGCATGCTGGAGTGTTTAGAGGCAAGTATAGCGTTATCTTATTTTGAAATATAGTCTAAAAATTGGATAGATGGATAGATGGGTGGATACGAACATGTGATCAAGTAAATGCAGTCAAATGTTACAGAATCTAGATGGTGGGTATATATGGGGGTCACCTGTATAATTTTTCCAACTTTTTTGTATGTTTAAAACTTTTTATAATGCAATGTAATAAAATGAGGAAAGGAATGGAGACATCAGTGGGGGAAGGGGAGCAGGGGAAGTAGGCTGATCCTGTCACTCCTCTGCTCAGCCCCCTTCAATAGCTCTTCAACTCCCCCTGGTTAAAGCCAGGCCTGATACTGTCTTCAAAGCAGGATGAGCACGTTTTGGTCACCCCAAGTCTCACTGTTATCTGGGCATAATTATTAGCACATCCTCTTCCTTTCCCAGATGGGATGGAGGACTCCTGAGGTCCTCCCTTGACCTACCTGACCTCACTTTCCACTGCTGACTCCCTCCCCTGTGTTCCAGCCAAGGGGGGACCTCCTGTGTTCCAGCCAAGGGGGGACCTCCTGGCCAGGTCCTGTCGCCTGGGGCCTCCGCACTGGTTCTTCCCTCTGCCTGGACTGCTCTTCCCCGAGACCTGCAAGCCTCTGGCCCTCACCCAGCTTTTCTTCAAAAGTCTCCTGGGTGATAAGGCCTCCCCTGACCTCCCTATTTAAAATTGCAAAGCACTCTTTCCCTAGCTCCCCTATTGTGGTGGTGTTTTTTTTCCCCAAAATATTGCTGATGTCCTCCATGAGGGCTGGGATTTTTTTCTGTTTGGTTCCTGCTGTATTGCAGGGCCTAGAGCGGTGCTCAGTAAACAGCACAGCGAACAGGAACAGTACACGATACCCACAGCTATGAATAAAGGAGCCCCTGGCACCCTGAAGGAACACAGGTCACCACCGTGCTCTGGAAAAGGCAGAGGAGGGACAGGGAGCATGAGGAAAGGAGAGGAGACACCAGCAGGAAGCAGAGGTTTGAGAAACAAGAAGACATGTTCCAGAATGAAGGGGGGTGAGAGGGTCGCTCTGGCAGAGCAAAGTAAGAATTCTGGCACCTTGAGCAGCCCCTGGGGGACTCGGGTAGGGGGAAGGGTTGGAGTGGCAGTGTGGGAACTGCAGGGCTGAGCCTGAGGCAGCACCATGGGCCAGCTTGAGTTTCTGAGACTGTGGGCTGCAGGGAGAATGTATTGGGGGGCAGGGGTGAGAGTGAAATAGGGAAACCCTATTGTGGGGTTCTCAAGGAAGGGTCATCCAGGACAAAGTTAATAAGACATGGTGGCCAATGGGACAATGATTACAGGGTGTGCCCATCTTGGCCAACTGTTGGGATTGAGAGGCAAATTCTGGGCACCAGGTGGTGGTGGCAATAGAGGTTGAAGCTGAGGGTTTGTGGGGCACCCCAGTGGAGATGTCATGCTGCATCTGGCTCTTTCAGTCTGGAGTCAGGGGGCAGAACTTGGAGGCAGAGACTTGGGAGCCACTCACTCAAGGATCAGGTGGGACTAGCAGGGAGTGTTCCTGGTGGGAAGGGCTAGGCCAGGGCAAGAGATATTTAAGGGATAGGAGGAGAAGCGATGAAGGAGAGAGAATGAGGGACCACTCGGGGCCGGGGCCCAAGAGTCAGGGGTGGAAGAATTTTCAAATAGAGAGGGTGGGCTTTGGAGGAGAGGAAAGTATCCAGCAAGGTGATGACTGGATGGAAGAGATGGGTTTGAAGTCAGGTCACAGACCACTGGGGGAGGAGGGGAGGCAAGGAGATGGGGGTGGTTGTGCTAGGGGACCGATGCCTGGGGTGTGGGGCCAGAAGAGGGAAAGCAATGGGTCTCAACTTTTCAAGGCTACTCAGAAATGGATCCCCCTCCCCAGTCTCACTAACAGGCGAGTCTCTGGCCTTTATCCCTATACCCCAGCTCCTCACCTGCAAATGGAGTGACAGGAAAACAGCTGCTATTTACTGAACACTGACGGCACGCCAAGGCAAGGACTCTCTCCATCTATTCCTTAGTTAATTCTCACAATTGTCTCACTAGGTTGGTGTTATTATCCCCATTTTACAGACGAGAAAACAGGCACAGAGAGGTTTTAAATCACTTGCTCAAGATCACACTGTAAATGAGTGGAGATGGTGAGATTCAAACCCAGAGCCTGAATTCTGGCCGTAACACTGTAGTAGCCCATTTGGGGTACTTGTACTTCACTGCTTAGAGCACACTCTCATCACCTCATGGGGTGCTGGAGAGGAATAAAGAGATGACCCCACACCCACACCCAGAAAATGACTGAGATTACCACCATGTGGTGAGGCCAAATAACAGCCCTCCAGCGATGCCCACGCCCTAATCTCCAGGCCTTGTGAATGTTACTTTACAAACAGGATTTTACAGGTGTGATTAAGGCTGTCAATATGGATGTGCCTGGATCATCCCAGTGGGCCCAATCTAGTCACAAGAGTCCTTGTAAGATGGAGGCAGGAGGATCAGAGATGTGGCGATGGAAGCAGAGAGAGTTCGAAAGATGTTACGCTGCTGTATCTGAAGATGGAGGAAGGTGCCACAAGCCAAGGGCTGCAGGTGGCCTGCAGAAGCTGGATAAGGCGGGGAAACAGTTCCCTATGGCTTCTGGAAGGAACAGCCCTGATGACACCATCTTTAGCCCTGTGAGAACAATTTTGAATTTCTGACCTCCAGCATGCTAAGATAGTAAGTTTGTGTTGTAGCCACTATGGCTGTGGTCATTTGTTACAGCGGCAACAGGAAGACCACAGGACACTGCACACTTGGCTCCCTGGCCAGGCTTCAACTATCACTACTGCAGCTGTGGTCAGGAAACACTATTACATTTTTAAACAATTCTTTAAGTTCCAATTTGGTTCTCTCTAAACCTCAGTCTCTTCCTTTGTTAAAAATAGGGTTAATACACCTGATTCTGACTCTCTTGTGGGCACAGAAGGAAAGTACCTTATATTATCTTGAAGGTTCCCACAAACCACTGAAGCCAATAAGGCCTAGTTAGTGTTCCCATTGCTCAGATGATCCAACTAAGGCTCAGAGAGGGGTCATGGCCTGTGCAGAGCCAAACAGCCAGTGAGTAACAGAGCCAGGACTTAAACCAGGACTTCTGACTTCAGATCCACCACATTGAGGTTCATAACTCAGAGCCCAGTTCACATGCCATCTCCTCAGAGAAGTCTTCCTGAATAGCCTCAGCCAATCCATTTACTCATTCATTCAAACGGCTGCTGTGACTGCTTGATGCCTAGTGTGGTGCTAGGCAAGGCTGAGGACTAGGTTGAGCGCTAGTGGACAAGGCAGACACACAGACTAACCATCCCAAACAGCCTGATAAATGCCAAGACAACAGGGGGGTGTGGAAGCCCAACAGAGGGGAAACTGAACATGGTGTCAGGAAAGGCACCTGGAGGAGCTGACTGAGCTGGAAACAAGTTATGTCCCAACCAAAAGAGTGGGTAGGGGTTCTACTGGGGGGAATGGCTAAGCAAGGCAGGGAGGTGAACTGCTGTAGCTTCCTTATCCCAAGCCCCAAAGTCTCTCTGGGCCACTATGTTTCTGTGCATGAATGGGAATCATGGGCCCAGCTGCCCAGAGCTTTGGTAATTGCTGGGCGCAGGCGAGGACTGAGCAGAAAAAAAGAGGGGTCCTGAGATTCCCAGCGAATGAGGGCTGAAGGCCACGAGGGGACAAGGAGACAAAGGGAAGAGGACAGGGCAGGGTGGAGGGAGAGTTGGGGAGACAGGGTCCTGGCTCAAGTCCCCGGTCTGGGTCTGACACGTGGTATGACTGCAGGAAGGTCCTCTCTGAGCCTCAGTGGCCCCAGCTGAGAAATGGAGCATGAGACAAAACTGTCTCCAAAGACCCTCCCCAGCCCTCATGGGCAAATGACATGACACAGAATTACAAAAGGGTCTTTATTTGTAAAAAGCCAAAGGGGTCCCTGGGGCGAAAGGACAGGCGAGTCAGCTTCTCAGGGGTCAGGGGCATTTGGGCAGATGCGCTTGAGTGGGGGGGCGCCCTCCGAGTCCTCTGTGTCACCCTGGGCTGCCTCAGGGACAGGTGGCACTGGCTCAAAGACGGGGTAAGCTTCGGGGGCCTGGAGAGGAAGGGTGGACAGGCGTGAGCTTCACCTAAACCCAGGAGTGCAGTCTCCTAGTCTCTGCCTTCTCCAAAGCCTGCAGTCCACTCCCCTCCCGGACCCAGGAGTCTAGCCCAGGGCCAGGTACCTGGGTGCAGAGTAAGTGGGGCACCAGAAACAACGCTGTCTGGGGGAAAGCAGTTGATATTTGATATTTCTGAAAAATGCAGTCCTTGTGGGAAAGTCAGAAGTCTGGGGAACAGGGATTTTCTTACACTCATTTTACAGTTTATAAAAATACTTGGAGGACCACCATGGTCTTTTTAGGCTTTTAATGGTCTTAAATCAGCCCCAATTAGGACTTTGCCTTTAAAATACCCCCTGCTTTTTCAGTGCCAAGACCCCAGCCTCCAAGTCTGTAGCTAAGGCCTAGGTCTACATTTCTGTTTGAACCTGAGGAGTGCAGCCTCAGAGCCCCCATTCCTTCAGAGACCCCAGAGTCAGCCTTCCGGCCTCTCTCACCTCAGCCTCCAGCAATTCTGGAACAGGCTCCTCCTTGGTCAGCATAGGGGGTTCATCAGTGCCACCTGCTGTTATGCTTCCGGGATCTGAAAGGTCAAGTATATAGACACTCTCTGAGCAGCTGCTCTGTGCTCCAGCACCAACCAAGAGGGAAACGAACACCAGTCCCATAAGCCTGACGGCTGAGAGAGTACTAAGGAGGGAGCCTAGCACCTGGCTGTGACCCAGGAAGGACATTCAGGCGGGATCTTGTCAGGTGAGAGGATTTGATTGGGCAGACAAAGGGGAGGTGGGGCACATCTTAGGCGAAGGCAACGAAGGTTTGGCCCATGAAGATTTCTGGCTTAGACTCCTGGGTTGAAATTCTGATCGTGGGCAAGAGACTTAATTTCTCTGGGCCTGAGTTTCCCCATCTGTAAAACGAGGATAATAAAAATAGTTACCCCATGCGACTCTTATGAGGATGAAGTAACACAGATAAAGCCCTTAATCGTGTCTAGCACACAGTAGGCGCTCAATAACTTTCACAATGGGTTCCATATTAGTAAAGATACACAGTGTGCAAGCACCATATGGACAGATAGGCCCAAGTGATGGTGTTTCTGGAAGGGAGCGATGAGGTCAGCAGGGACAGTTCACCAAAGGTCTAGAGTGCCAGGCTGGGAAGTCAAAGCTCATGGCCCACTGTGAACTCTGAAGGAGGAAAAAGACCCCCTCAAACTTGTGCTTTAAAAAAGGTGCCCTGGCAGCTGTGTGGAGGTGATTGGAGGAGAGGAGACCAGAGCCAGGTATGGGGGAGATGCCAGCTGGGGAGGGAAAGAAAGGAAGTCAGATATACACTGGAGATGGCGCTGGCCAGACTGACTATATGGAAGGAAGAGGAGGAGGAGCCTTGCCCAAGATGCTGGCTCACGGCTCTAGTGAGGATGAAATGGAGGAAACGTGTGAGGTGTTTAGGAGGGTGCCTGGCGCCCAGTAAGAGCTCAACAAGTGTTAGCTGTCATTATCGCTTCTCATTCATCACTCTTGGGACTATCACGACTCTTTATTCCTCAACCAATGTTTATCGAACATCTACTATGCATCCCAGTATCCTATTATTTCTGAGGAAATAAGAGTAAACAAGATCAACATGGGCCCAACATTCAGGAAGCTGACATGAGGTGGGAGGGGAGGGGAGAGGCATTTAAGCAGTCAAATGTTAAATGCATGAAAATCTCAGACCATGAAGAAGCCAGGGGAAGGAGACAACTAGAGGGAGGGCAGTGACACTGCAGGAGTCAGGGAAGGCCTCCCTGAGGAGGCAACATAGGATGGGGAGCAGGCATGTGGTCAGCCCCTGGCTTCAGCTTTGAAGGGACAAGACTCAGAGGAGAGGGCTCCTGGGAGTCACTGGTCCTACCTCTCTCCTGGCCCAGTCGTGGAGGCTGAGTGTCCTCTGGGACTCCTTCTGGTGGCCCGGCAGGTGACACAGGGCGGCTGGGCTGGGGGGTGCCCCCAGGGCTAGGCTCTGTGCCTTTTTGTAGGGAGCCTTCTGAATGGAAACTCTGGTTACTGTTCTCATCTGTAGGAGTAAAAGCCGAGAGAGTTGGGCCTGAGTCCCCAGTACTCTCCCTCAATCCCTACCACCCCCAAATCTCAGGATCCCTACATACCATTGAGATCAAGCAGGATGAGAGGGCCACCCCCTCGGGGGCTGGCACCTCTGCCCCGCCGCTCTCGGCCTCGGGCTCTCTCTGCCCCGCCACCTGCCCTCCGTCGCTCCTGGGAGTTAGGGGGGTAAGTAAGGGTCAGAGTTAGGGTTCTAGTTAGTGCTAGCAAAGCCCACACTGTACAAATAAGGAAACTGAGGCACAGAGAAGCAAAAGGCCCTACAGGAAATGACAAAGGTTGTGCACACTGGGTTAGGTCTTGAACTTGGGGGGTCTGCAGCAGGAAAAAGGGAGGGAGAAGGGGCGGAGTGTTAATAATTGTTAACATCTGTCTGGGCTGCTATATTTTCGGTCTTCAGAGTGGGGCTGGAAGTAGAGGTGGAGGCCAAGGTTGGGTGGGGCTTGCCTGAGGTTGCACACATCCAGGGCCTAGTGTGGGGAAGCTTGCTCACCTCCTCCTGGGGGTCCACCACTGGCACCCACTTGAAGATGCGAAGGGAAGTGTCTCCCACAGTCACCCAGCGCTTCTCCCTGTGGGAAGAGGGGGACTGAGTCAGAGAGGCCTGAGGAGAGCCCCCCACTGCCCCTTGGGAGCTAAGCACATCAGGGCATACTTGCAGAGGTGAGGGGGTGCTAGAGGGGAGTGGCAGATTTGCCAATGGGGCATGGTTACAGGGAGAAAGAGTCCTGCGGAGGCCAGGGCACCGGCGGGGTGCCTCCACGGAGAGGGTATGTCTTGGGGCCATGGCTCTGCAGGCCCCTGGAGTATACGCGGGAAGCACCTCTACGGGCCTGCGAAGGGACTATAGTAATGAAGATTCCGGGGCGCACTTGCGGGAGGAGTGTCAAAGCTTTAGGGGGCGGGGCTGTGTTCTGGGAGGGCGCAGCTAGGGAACGCGCTTTGTGGACCCCAGGGTGTCGCCAGACGGAGGGCAGAGCCCTGTTGATGCCAGGTGCAGCTGCAGGGCACACCCAACACCTGGAGCCCACAGTGGGCGAAGGGAGGGTGGACGCGTTTGAGGGAGGAGGGGCCTGCCATGTCCCGTCCTTGGCCGCGGGGCAGCGCTCACCATCTCCGGACCTTCTCGATGGTCGCCATCACCTTCTTGATGTCATCCTTGGCCCGGCTCCGGGTCTCGGCCCGCACGGTCCGGCCCGCCATGCTGGCGGGGCTGGGGCCGCGGCCGAGCCCGCGGCTGGGCTGCCTCCCGTCCGGAGGGCTCAGGCTCGGCGCCAGGCCGGGACGCCGCTCTCCGGGCCTGCCGTCCCTCCGGGAGTTGGCCGCGCCCTCCCTCGCTCCCCAACGCCTCCGCGAGTCCCCGCCCGGCTTCCTGCCGCCGCGCCCCGCCCCGGCCCGTCCCCGGAGCGGCCGGGCGGCGCGGGCGGCCAGAGCCCAGGCCTGGAAGCCCGCCGGCCCCGCCCCGCCCGGGCCCGCCCCCTCGGGGCGCCCGGACGCGCAGCGCCCCCTGCCGGCGGCCGAGAGGGGAGTTGGGGCAGCTCGGGGGCTGGACGCGCGCGGCTGGGCGGAGGCGGTGCGTTCAGACCACGTGGGCGCCCAGCGCGCGGGGTCCGGGTCCCCGCGGGCGTCCCCGGTGCGCGGGCGGCCCTGCCGCTAGAGGGGTGTGTGTCCGCCCCCCCCCGGACTGCCTGGTTCTACCTTGTCCAACTTTTCCCTTCATCTGTTCATTCAACAATTTAATACGTGCCAGGCACTGCAAGATGAGGAGGTCTTCACCCTCCAGAATGACTAAAATGAAAACGACAGAGTTTACCAGGCGTGGACAAAGAAGTAGAGCAACTGGACCTCTCGTATTTCTGGGGGAGAGTAAAACTGGCAGTTTTCTAATGAAGCCGAACATTCACCCACCATATGATCCAGCAATTCTCTTCCGTCCACACCCAGCGGCCGATAAGAGCATCAAGAGCCGTTACTGGAATGTTGAGAGCACGATGCTTAAGAGCGGCAAACTGGAAATCACCCATCATCAGCGGAGCGGGAAATTGTCACAACAAGGAGAGTGATGTCCCGGTTCACCCAACAATGGGGCAAGTTTCATGAAAGAATACAGTGCGACAGTCTGCTCTATGATTCATCTTAAGTTTCAAAAGCAGAAGTCAGGATGGTAGTCACCCTTGAGACTGGGAGGGACGAAGAGGGGCTCTGGGAACTGGTTATGCTGTTTCTTAATCTGAGTTCTGGTTCCCTGGACATATTCACTTTGAAAATCCATCCAGCTGTCACTGAGGATGTGTTTACTTTTCCCTCGGGATATTATACTTAGATTACGTTTACTTAAGATGAGTTTGTCTTGTTTGATTTTATTTAAGGCTGGTTGCCAGCATATATTTCATGTCTAAATTTATGTTGCTAAGTGTGTGTGTTTTAAGGGTGTGACTATTGTGTCTGTGTTTTGGTGTGACTATGTCCAGAGGGGTTGAGGTATAGAAAGGTGGTTATGACAGCATTTCTCCAGCCAAAATGCTGGGGAAAAATCCCAACTCTGCTTGTCAAAATGACCTTGGACAAATCACTTCTATCTCCTCAACTTGGAAGTGAGCTAATATGCACATAATGTATATGCCCATTCTGCATAGCTCTTAGAACATTGCCTTGCCCATAGTAAATACTCAATAAATATTCACTATCACTAGGTGTGTGAGTGTGATTCCCACCAGGGTCTGGATTCGGTTGCACCTGCCCCCTGCCAGTTGATTCCTTTGTCCCTTTACTGTGGCAGTTGTCTGCTCATGGCAATATCCTCACAAATATTGAGGATATCACAGAGCCTTCCCAGTGTCTGTCGCAAACCCCATTCATTACCTGCTGGGGCCCATGACTGCCCCATCCTCCATCAGACTGAGCTCCATGGGGGCCCAGAGAACAAATACAGATTTTCTCCGAGTCTGAGAACCCAGGACAGAGTGTGTGCTTGGAGACCGTTTGTGAGGATAACTAAACGTCTACGGAGTTTTTGTATTCGTCTGCACCAGGTTAGTGGAGTTAAGTGTGGGGAGGACCCCTTGTCCTTGCCTCTGGTTTGTTCCAGTGTGAGAATGAAGGCTCTGTGTGCATTAACCCTTGGGTGGATCTGTGTGCCTCATACGAGCCCTGGTTAGGTGAGATGAGACTGTTGTAACAGGAGAGTGAGAGCAAAAAGAACTTAAAATAGGCCAAGAGGTGTATGTCTGGGCAGGTGTACCACAAGCCTGAGCACCCCCAATGGGGTCTCTCTCCAACCACCTCCTTCCCAAGAGGGAGGATCAGTACATTCCTGGCTTATCAGCTCCACCCTCTCCCATCCCCTTGGCTTTCTCCCCAAAGCAGCCAGGGCACCAAGCCTTGCACTAGGTGAGAGGCTGAACCTCCTCCTCTGAGAGGGTCTCAGGGTTGCTGCCCAGTCCCTGACACCCCCAGCCTCAGGGTCCTAGTCCACCATGCAAACAACCTGCTGCTCCTTTCAGGCCCCTTCCCGTGCTAGGCAGTGCAGGCAAGGAGCTGAGCTCAGGGCCAAGGAATCCTGCCTGGGGCGGGGGTGGGGGGGGAAATTGTTTGGGGTCTGGCCCCTGATTGGCTGCGCTCGGGCCACGCCCCTACCCCTTTCCCCCTTCTCCCCCCCCCCTCGGAAGGGGGGCGTGGAGGCCAGCGGGAGCAGCCAGGGGCCAGCATGAGCCGGAGGGAGGGAAACCTGGGTAAGGGGCTGAAGGGTTGGATGACGAGTGCCCGAGGGGAGCAGGGGTCAGGACGGCTGGAAGCTGGGGTTCTGGGTCCCCGCTATCCCCGGTCCGGGAGGGGAGCGGCCTGAGCGGGGGAAAGCAGGACCCGGGTATCAGGTAACGAGCGGGTGAACTGTGGGAAGGAGCAAGCGTCAGAGTGTAGAAGCCTGGGGCTGTGTGTCTTCAGGGACTTGGGCTCAGGGTTTAGATCACCGGGTACACCCTGTTCCAGTACACCCTGGGGGAGGACTGTGAGACTGGCCCGGCAGGACGTCTGGATTCTGAGTATGGAGGAAGAACCAGAGCTGGGGGCCGGTGGGAAAGGTAGTGTAAGGGGAGGAAGCCTTTGGGCCACAGGAGCCAGTGAGTTACAACAGGAGACGAAAGTCGAGGCTGCTACGAATAGGGACTAGCAGTGGCAACTCAGGCGGGGGGGCGGGGCGGGAGCTGTCGCGCCAGGACTACATTCCCCAGCATGCCCTGGGCGCGCGCGTTGGGAAGCTCGGGAAATGTAGTCCTTCGGAGCGCCACCTTCTAGCTTGTGCTACGGAGGGTGCGAGTCTGATTTCGTTGACGCAGCGGGAATGGGGCATCAGTCTCCGCTCTGAAGTTCTGTGCTTCAGTGATGTTGAATTCCACCAACAATCACTGAGGTACAGAGATATGTGAGCCCTTCCCTCAAAGGGCCCCTAGACTGAGGTCGAGTCGCACAGCTAAAAGGGCCATCAAATGAACTACTTTGGAAGTGTGAACAAATGACCTTAAATATAAAGAAGTTAATTTGACAGGTGAACCAGGCGACTACACTGCGGAGTCGTTATTTTAATTTGGCTTCACAGGATTTCAACAGTGATTTGGGGACAGGTAACATTTCAGGTAAAACAATCATTTGGCAAACATCCCATTTTCTCTCAGTTGGAAATGGGATAGAATCTGCCTGACTTAAGAGTTGGAGAATTCAGAACAGAACTTTGGAGCTCAGGAAGGAAGATCCAGCCTTCCTGGAAGAAGTGGTCAAGGAGCATGGTTTGGGGCTGTCCTCATTCCTTCCCCCTTTTCCCACCAGAAGCCCTCCAGGCTGACTCCTCAATTTCACCCCTTCCCCACCTGGAGGCCAAGATTCATCAGACACACAGTCTTGCCCGCCTCCTCACCAAATATGCTGAGCAGCTGCTCCAGGAATATGTGAGTGGGGATGGGGTTGGGGGTGCAGAGGCCTGGGGAATGGGGATGTACAGATTGCGGAGGTCCACCATTTTCTCAGCTTCATTTCCCAGCTGTGAAAATCAGTGTTTCTGAGAAAGATCAGTAACATCCCTTCCAGCAAGTTGGAAGAGGACCTTCTTCATGCCCCAGCGGTCTCCCAGCCCAACATCGGCCTCAGTTTGGAGGCTTTAAGACAGGGGCAATCTGAATGGATAAAAACTCTAACCTGAAACTCAGGAGACCTAGACTCTAGGCTCTGCGTGGTCTTGTCCCCCCCCAACTCCATGGGCCTTCGTCTCCTCAGCTGTGAAAGGAGGGAGATGAACAAATGAGCTGTGAACTCTTCTACTTGTGTTACACAGAGTAGCCAAGAAGGAATTTCAATCTGGGGCAAAAATTCCTACCCAAAAGGGGACTTTTACAGTGTGTGTGTGTGGGGGGGGGGGTGTCTCCCAACATCTTTGGCTAGACAAAAGACCCTGCTGAAGGAAAAGAGGTATTTCCCCACATGACTGGTGTAGTGGAGAGGGACAATCAAAAGTTTTGACAGTGGACAGTGGGAAACAGAACTAGCTTTGCAGTCCTGCAAACTTTGGTTCAAATTCCAGTTTGGCCCCTTCCTAGATGGATGACCTGGGGCAAGACACGGTACCTCTTCAGCCCCAGTATCCTCTTTTACTAAATCACCATCTTCGTCATCACACCCATTACTGGGAAAATAGGAATAGTGTGGTAAAGCAGCGAGTACAGTGCCTGCACCAGAGCAAGGTGTTATTGGTATAAATGATATTGTTATAGCACTTTTACAAACTACACATCACCTTTATTTTTCATTTGCTTTGAGCATATCTTTCAAATATGCTTTGAGCTCCAGCTGTGTGCCAGGCGGCGGTGGGGCAGGTGGTGGGAACCAAGTCTGGTCTCTGGTCCCTGTGCTGTGCCATCCTGTATGGCGCCCAGGAGACCTGGTGGGAAGCAGCACAGGGAACGCAGCTAGTAAGCTGTCGAGGCAGGATTCGAACCCTGGTCTGTAAGATCTGGTTAATACAAGAGCTAACATTTATTGGCCTTTCAACGGACCTGCCTTAGGCATTTTAACACTCTTAATTACCCTTATCAGAGATGAGGAATCAAGGGCACGGGTCTAAAGCCTGGGCTGTTTTGCATTCTCTCAAACTGCAGTTCAGTTAGGTGGGACCATCTTCGAGAAGGCAGCTGAGGTCCCGGGAGAGGGTGACGGGCTCAGGCCGAGTGAAGGGTTCCCCACTGACCGCGGTGTTTCCGCAGGTGCAGCACCAGGGAGACCCCTTCGGGCTGCCCGGCTTCTCGCCGCCGCGGCTGCCGGTGGCCGGCCTGAGCGCCCCGGCCCCGGGCCACGCGGGGCTGCCGGTGCCCGAGCGGCTGCGGCTGGACGCGGCGGCGCTGGACGCGCTGGCGCCGCTGCTCGACGTGGTGCGCCGCCGCCAGGCCGAGCTGAACCCGCGCGCCCCGCGGCTGCTGCGGCACCTGGAGGACGCGGCGCGCCAGGCCCGGGCCCTGGGCGCCGCGGTGGAGGCCGTGCTGGCCGCGCTGGGCGCCGAGCCCGGCGGACCCCGGCCCGAGCCCGCCGCCCTCGCCGCCGCCGCCGGCGCCGCGGCCGCGGGCGTCTTCTCGGCCAAGGTGCTGGGGCTCCGCGTGTGCGGCCTGTACGGCGAGTGGGCGAGCCGCGCCGAGGCCGACCTGCGCCCGCTGGTGCCCGGGGGCCCGACCTGAGCGCGGGGACGCCGCCCGTGGCCACCTCCGCCTCCTGGTCTCTCCGCCCCTCCGCCCCGCTCCACCTTCGGCCGCGTCTGCGTCCTGTGTCCCCATCTCTGTCCCTGTCACGCCCTCGGGCTCTCTCGGGACCTCCTTGTCTTGTGTGTCTTGTCTTGTCTTGCACCCACCCCCTTTCTCCATCTCCTGGCCTGTCTCAGGCTCTCTTGGTCACCCCTTTGGCCCACCACCCGGAGCCCCTTTGTCTCCCCTGGGTCCCACGTGAGCAAGCGTCCACCTCAGCCTCATCTCCAGGAGGACGGGGCACCTGGCCGCGCTGCTTCCCTCTGTCCCTCTCTGTTCTCCCCTGGCCAGAGGCTGTGCCCGCTGCCCCGTGGTGGGAGGGCTGCTCAGACAAATGTCAGCCACCTTCCCCCAGGATCAGTCCACCTGTTGCCTCCTCCCCCAGCCCTCTCCTTTGAGGTCCTAACCCCCACCCTCCCCTTCCCCCAAGTCAGGTCTGTGGAGAGAAAAAAAAAATCATCTTGAAAGAGTTTTATTTCTGAGAATAAATTAATTTTTTTGTAAATAAAATGTTAAAAAATGCTAAAGGCACCGGTATGTTGAACATGGGGTGACTTTTTTGAAGAGAATAGGATCCTTCCAGTGTAGCCTGGTCCCCCAGGCAGACCCAAAGCCACCATATAAATAGGTGATTCCTGAGAGCCCCAGGCCAAAGGTGCCATCTGTCAGCCTAGAACAGGAAGTAGCTGTGTCCTGAGCAGGAAACAGGTGTGATGTGAGTCCTTGGTGTTTTAGAAAGCAGACTTCCATCGATGAGGCAGCAAAGCCCCTCAAGATGGAAAGTTGGAACAGTGGTCACCGTCAGAGAGGTAGACTAGGGGAGAAAATAAACTCCAGCAAGTTGGGAAACTTGTCTGCTCAGAAAGTCCATATCTTCACATGTGAAGTGAGGTAGACACTGTCAGGAAGGCAACCCCTGGACCTGCCCTAAATTATAGGAAGATGGTCTCAGAAAGAGCCCAGGAATGAGACCACCTGTCCGCTCCCCACGGAGCAGGAAGTAAAACCTCTTCAGAGAGGCATATCTTTCCTCCCAGGAAGTGGGCAGCCAGTACCACTGGCTTGGTGATGCGCGGTGATAACCAGAGTCCCACCACATCTGTAAGTGAGGCCGTCAGACCTAGGCAGGAAGCCCAGGACTGGTTCTCAGGAAATATTCCCAAATATGTGGCACACAAGCTTTGTCTGCTAGACAAGATGTGCCTCCTTTCTAGCCAAGAAGCAAGGCAGAGAAGTGTCCATTGTGAAAAGGGAAGTGTTACATCCTCTGACAGGAAGTCCCATCTCCTCTATCCAGGGTATTTGGCCTTGAGTAGAGCCAAGTCCCTCACAGCTCTGTCCGTCCAGTGGCCATATTCCCGGGTCACTATGTAGCCTCGACATTTCCTCTCGAAGGCTGAGGCCCCAAATGGGACAAATCCGAGAGTATCTTCTTCTGGGGGAATGGGCAGGCCCAGGGCAGTCATGATGGCGGCCATGTTGCCCAGCAAACCTTGTGCCCTGAGTCTTGCAGCTCCAAGCTGAGCCAGCAGGATAGGACTGCCAGGGTTCAGGTCGTTCTGGTCATCCCCCACGAGCTGGAGGTGCTGGGTCAAGGCCAGGAAGGCCCCCTGGGCACGGCCCAGCCGCTCCCCATCATCTAGGGCATGCCAGGTCTTGAAGGAGACGGCGGCAGGAGGCAGGCTGCTAAGCTGGAGCTCGGGGGCTGAGAAGCCAGGGTCACTAAAGGGGCTTCCCTGGTACTGGAGCTGCATGAGAGACAGAGACATACAGGAGTGAAGGGCCAAAGGGATGTCCTGGGGCTCCCCCTGACTTCATATCTGCCCTCTAAGAGACTGGTATCTTCTTAGGGGGAGTCGCTATTTACTAACCCTCAGGGAGTCGGTGGAATATCCTAACAGAGCCTGGGCTCTGTTAGGTTCCAATTCAGCTTCCTCCATGTACAAGTTGTGCAACTTTGAGTCACAGCTTCAATAATTCCCACGTGGCAGTGTTATCGTGAAGATGGCAAGAAGTAATAAACATAAGGCACTTAGCACCACACCTGGCATACAACAAGGGCATGATAAGCCACTGTTAATAATATATTTATATTATGAACACTGTGATGCCATTCATTATTTAATATTTTCAATCTAAACATATTGACAATGTGGTTACAGCCCTATATATTTCTTTTTTATTTACAGCATTTAGTTCGTTGGGTTTATTCTTTTTTAAAAAAAGATTTATGGGCTTCCCTGGGGGCACAAGGGGTTAAGAACCACACTATGAAGCAATCCACAGCTTCTGCAGCATGGGTTCGATCCCCAGCCAGCCAGGGAGAAACCCACATGTCGAGGCAGACCTCTCCTGTCTCACCCACTGCTCCCCTCAGCAGTATATTTCAGTCAGTCTGCCTGTTCTGCTCCCCGCTCTGTCTCTGGTGGATCCTCTCACCCTCCCCCACACCATACCAGCTCTTGTATGCATAAATAAATAAAAATTTATTTTTTTAATAATTTAAAATAATTTATTAAAAAATGTATTTATTTATGCATACAAGAGCTGGGGTACAGGCCAGAGGTGTGGGGGCAGTGGGAGAGGATTCACCAGAGACAGAGTGGGGAGCAGGAGCAGAACAGGCAGATCTACTGAAATATACTGTTGAGGGGAGCATGGGGCAAGGCAGGGGAGATCTGCTGCACCATGTGGGTAGCTCCTTTGCCAGGGATTGAACTTGCACTGCAGTGGCTGCGGATAGCTTCATCGTGCTGAGACTTAATCCCTTGTGCCACTAGGGAGGCCCCTGTTGGGTTTATTCTAATTGCTAAATAATTGTTAATATTATTGCATTTAATTGAATGTCTTCTCCATCAAAGTTTTCACCTCCACAAACCTAGACTCACAGAATCTTGGTGTACACAGGTGACTGTCCTATTTGGTAGATCACCTAGTCCTACACCCCCACTTTATAGGTAGAGAAACTGATGCTCAGGGTGCCCAAGGCTACCCAGGGATTGGAGGCAGTTGTGGGACTAGAAACTAGGCCTAGTAACTTCATAGGGGTCTGGGATAGAGTCCAGTGGAAGGATCCCAAACTCCAGGGCCTTCTGAGACCAGGAAGATCAGATAACTTGGGGACAGAAGCAGGATTGATAGGAGGGTAGAAGGCAGGAACTTTGAACGACAGGATCCCTGTGACTGTTTCAGACAGGTATTTATATTCCAAATTTGAATGCAGTGCATGGTGCAAACAGAATACACCTGTGGGTCAGACCCAGGCAGCAGAACTTTTGAAACAGTGGGAAGGGTCAAGGATAGGGATGAGCATCTAACGCCACACCTGGTTTTAAATCCTGGCACTACCAGCGATTGTGTGACCTTGGGCAAATTATTCACCCTCTCTAAGACTCGTTTTCCTTATCTGTAAAATGGATTCAAACTCCACCTCTCCAAACTGTTTGAGAACTAAGTGAGATAGTGGGGATAGAGTGCCCAGCATGGCATAAGGCTCAGGTGTGTGCCCAGCACAAGGTGGTTGTAGAAATCATCTTGACTTTATAAAGCCCTTCCCTCTACCTGCTTCCTTTGAATCCTGTCACAGGCCTGAGAGGTCAGCAAAGGCAGGATCACCATCCCATGTTGCAAATGAGGAAGCTGAGAGTGAGAGAGAAGGAATGATTGCCCAAGATCACCCAGTTGTCAGTGACAGCCTTTGGTGGGTGTGTCTGGTCAACAGCGCCCCTGCACCCTCGGACCCATGGAGGAAACTTGACCCCTTCTCCCGGCCTTGCTCTGCGTCCCCTTCCCAAGGGGCCTGTGTCCCATTCCCCTTCGCCCATTTGTCCATTCTCCTGCCCATGCTCGGTGGACTCACGTAGGTCTGGAGCAATGTTGATGTATTTCTCTGCATGTAGAGGGCCAGGCTATAGGCTTGACTGATGGGCTCAGCTGGGGAAATGGCGGCCCCCAGACTGAGTGGTGACAGCAGCAGGGTCAGCAGACAGAGGGGGGCTGGTAGAAGAAATCAGAGGTCAGCACCAAGTCCATGAGCCCCCACCTCCAGTTCATTCCTTTGTTATAACAACTCCTCAAACATGTCCTACCTTGTGGCCGACAACCAGCTTGTGTATCCGAGCCAGGGCACAGTCACCCTGGGAATAGATTATTTCCAGCCCAGAAAGTTCCCCTGCATGCCAAGGCCCATGTATTCAACTTCCTGCCTGACGTTTTCCCTTGGATATTTTTTTTTTAATTTTTTATTTATTTATACAAGCATTGGGTACAGTCAGAAGCACGGGAGGCTGAGAGAATCCACCAGAGCCAGAGCGGGGAGCAGAGCAGGCAGAAGGACCGAAGTACACTGCTGAGGGGAGCAGCAGGCGGCAGGAGAGGTCTGCGGCCATGTGGGACCCTCCTCTGGTGGCCGGGGAGCAGCCGGGGATGGAAACTGCGCTGCAGAGGCTGTGGGCAGCTTCGCAACCCAGCGCTCAACAGCTGCGCCACCGGGGAGGCCCTTCCCTTGGATATTAACCAGCATCTCAAACTCAAAATATCCAATACCCCCCTTCAGGCTCCCCTTTCCAGTCTTCCTGCGCTCAGATGAGGCACTTCCGCTCTTCTAGTCACTCAGCTCAAAATCCTGGGGTCCTCCCCAAGTCTCCTTTTCTCTTGCTCGCCACATTCAGTTCCACAGTAAATCCCGTTGGCTCTGTCCTCAGAGGCAGCCAGCCCAGGTCTGGGTTTCTCGTTCTCTGTGCTCATGACACAGGTATGTTCACCTTGGGCAAAGGCCTTGAGCTGGGCGCTGGTGACTTGGGCCTCGTTCCGTGTACTTGGATTTGCTATACAAAATGTGAAGAGATGTGTCCAGAACCTAACCACCCTCCTTCCACTGCCGCCACCTGAGCCAAGCCACCGGCACCTCTCTGGTATGACTCCTATAGTTGCCTCCCCACTGGTCTCTGTGCCCAACTTTCCCAAGATCCTCAGGGTGGTGAGAGGCCTATCCCTACTACCCTGGTCCAGTTTGTGTTCTGCAGCAACCCCCCTTCAGGATCACCCTCTTCCCCCAAGGCCGCGGCCTCCTGTTCAGGCATCAGCTGAGAGAGCTGTCCCCACCTTGTAGCAAACGCCCCTCCCTCTCCTGGTTATAGTCTTCGAGGCCTTTGCTGTTTTGCGCCTCCCTCATTTATTTATTTGTCTACTTGCTGGTTGCTGTCTCTGCCCTAGAATCCTGGCTCCAGGATAGAGGAAACCTCACCCGGTTCATTCACTGCTGGTTCCCCGGCACCTAGCACAGAGCTTGATAAATATTTGCTGAGTGGATGAATGTTGCCATGAACGTCCTTCTGCCAGCTCCTTTGGGCACCTCTGAAAGTGGAAATATGTGCTGGAGGCTGTGCTTATTTTTAATTTGAGTTGATGCTGCCAAATGGTTTTCTTAAAGGTGGGTGCAGTTATGCTCCTCAAGAAAGAAGCTCCCTAAGATCACCAGCAGGAAGTCATGGAGACAGAGGCAAGCCAGGCAGCCTCCATCCTCCCCTATCTACTGTCCTGAGTTCCCAAGGGAAGGTCTTTCATTCATTCATTCATTCATTCACTCATTCATCTCTCCCTTCCTTCCCCCCTTCCTTCCACTCACCTCTGTCACACTGACACTACGATTTACTTAGCGCATGTGTCGTCCACAGAATGAGGTCTCCACGAGACCACACTTTTTGCCTGTTCACCGCTGTGTCCCCAAATGCTTAGAATACTCCCTACCACCTAAGAGGCGCTCAGTAAATATTTCTTGAAGAATGAGGATGAACAGAACCTCCTGTGCAAAAATTTGGAGGTTCCTCGCAGATGCAAAGCCTGCCAGGCACACATGAGCCAGATGGGCCCAAGGCCTTCCAGGAGGGTGGCTTGGCTCAGGTGGCGGCCATGGAAGCAGGGTGGTTAGATTCTGGACACATCTCTTCACATTTTGTATAGCAAATCCAAGTACACAGACCCTCCCCTGCTGGTCTCCGGGACCTGGCACCTCTGCCCCTCACTCACCCAGCAGACAGCTCATGCTCTCTCCTTGGCTCCTTCCTCTCTGCAGTCTCTGGATTGTTCTGGGACACCTGTCCTCCCGTCCCTCAGGTGGCTTTATAGCTGGGGCTGAGCCCTGGGGCTGCCCAGGAGAGAAGGAAGGAGTCACACCCTGGGGGATGGGGGGCAGGCACAGAAGCTCCAGAGGCAGGGGACAGCCAGGGAGGGGGACACTGAGGTGACACCCTAGTCCTCTACAGCCCCCAAACTCAACCTAAAAGCCTGATTGCTGAGAGGGAGGGGGCAAGGGTGTGGAGGGGATTATCAGGGGACAAAGAGGCCGCCCTGCTCCCTGCTGCTCCGCACGTCCAGGGATCCAGTTTCCCCGTGAGGAGGCGGGCCCCCTGCTCCGCCCCACTGGGACCCAGGCTTTGGGCCTTGGCTCCGGGGAGTTTGGGAAAGGGACAGGAGGGGTGTGTGAGAGCAGCATCACCCACACCCAGGTGCACCCTCAGACACAGGAGCATGCGCACGTCTACGCACAGCTGTGCGCACGGGCTTCTCCGTGTTTCCTCACTCGGGTCCATAGTGACACCTGCTACATGCTGGTCCTTTTTGGGCACTGGCAATGGAACAAGTCACACAGAAATCCTACCCTCGTGGACCTGACCTTCTGGTGGACACGCCGACACACACGTTGTAGGAACACACCGTGCAGCCCACACACGTTACTCAGAGTCAGCCAGGCCAGCGCACGGGCGTGCACACAGATGCGCACACATGTGAACACACAGACACACACATACGTGGGTGTCCACGTACCACGGCCACATGTGCTACACATAGGTGCAGCTCTCCCCTGGGCCATCGGGGACCCATGGCTGTGTCTCCCCAGACACAGTACACAGGGACACACCTGAGGTCTCCGTCTCCCCCCACCCCCCAGCATGTGGCTGAGGGTACAGGCAGGGAAGCGGACTAGCAGTGGCTTCCCGGGCCCTCTCCAGAGCTTCCCACTCTCTCCATTAGGGAGTGGAGGTTCAGTCCGCTGAGCAGGGTGGGCAGTCAGGCCCCCACTCTGCTTCCGGTGGAGGCTGCAGTAACACTCACTCTCCTCCCTGGGTGGAGTTAGTTTGGAGGGAGAGGGCCCACACCGCTCGCCACAGCAGGAGGAGCACCGTGCTCTCATCGCCTCTGTCTGCATCCAACCGGCACATACCCTTGGAGCCCTGACATGAGCTGCCACCTAGGTGAGTGATAAGCAGGCCGGGTTCCTGCCCGCGAGCACAGTCCACAGGGGAAGGACCCACAGCGAGCTTAGGAAATGAGAAGAAACAAAATCTCCTGCAGTGATAAGGTGCTGAGAAGTCAAAACAGGTTGATGTGATTAACAGGTGGTTGAGGAAACTCAAGTAAGGAGCCTGAGACCCAGAGAGGGACAGCTACTTACCAGGAGTCACACAGCAAGGCCAGACAGATCCTAGATTCCTGACCCCCAGCTTGGGATTGAATCTGGGGTGTACCTGATCTGAACTGTGAGCTGAAGGAAGAGAGGAGAGTGAGGCGTGGTTCTGGGCTGGGGGATCCTAAATAGGGCCTTCAAGGCCGGGGGCTGCCAGGGCTGCCAGGCAGGCCCTGTGCTGTGCAGGAGGTGATGTCAGGGGATTAGACTAGGCCCATTGAGTGGGTGCACTGAGGCGTGGGCCAGCCTGGGTAGTGGAGGAGGAGGAACAGAATGAGGAGGAGGGCAAGAGAGGAGGAAGGGAGGTGGGGAGAGGGAGGTAGACACTCGATCTGGAACTATTCACACAGGTGGATGGTGAACGTGGGGCCAGGCCTCACCTGAGGGGATAGTCTCACCCTCACCTAACCCCACCACCTCCTCTCGAGAGCTTGACTTTCCCTCCCTGGACTCCCAGATGCCCTTCGCAGCTGGAGGAATTGGCCCCCATCCCAGGCCCAGATCCATTTGTCATAATGTCTGGGGCAGACATCATGAGCTCTGGCCCAGTCTTGCCCCACCTCTCAGTTCACCCATTTCCATTTCTGTTTTGATCTCCCCAGATGCCTGGGTAATCCCAGCAACTTAGGAGTCAGCAGACTTGGCTACTGGTCCTGCCTTTGTCCATCCCTAGCTTGGGCAAGTTCGTAAACCCCTCTGAGCCAGTTTGTTTCTTCCTCTGGAAACCAGATAATTTCCACCTCCCAGGCCTTCGCTGACTCTACCCACTAAGTGTCTTGGCCCCTGTTATGAGGCCCTTCTAGGGTTCCCCAATGGTATGTAATGCCATCCACCAATGGCAAGAACCCCAATGTCCTCTGACCCCAGGCTTGGAACCCAGACCCCACCCCAACTATACATGTGCCCCCAAGAGATCTGATGCCTCTTCATCTCCAGGACACTGGCATCCAATAGGTCCCCTAGTGAGGCCCATTCAGAAAAAATAAACATGGGGCCTCCCTGGTGGTGCAGTGTTTGAGCGCTGGCTTGCGACGCTGCCCGCAGCCTCTGCAGCGCCAGTTCAATCCCCGGTTCGATACCCTGGCCGCTGGGCGAGGGTCCCACATGGCACACAGACCTCTCCTGCCACCCGCTGCTCCCCTCAGCAGTGTACTTCGTCAGTCTGCCTGCTCTGCTCTGCGCTCTAACTCTGGTGAATTCTCTCACCCTCCCGCGCTTCTGACTGTACCCAGTGCTTGTATAAATAAATAAATAAATAAATCTTTAAAAAAAAAAAAGAATTAAAAAAAAAAGAAAAAAGAAACATGAACCCCAAGCCAGATCCTTACCCTGACCCCAACCATGAAACCCAACCTCATTCCTTCCTCTGACTGCAAATTTTCACCCTTACCTTTCCAGGCCGCAGACAGCCTCACAGCGCTGCGCTCAACCCACTGCGCCACTGGGGAGGCCCACAAACTATATAATGTTAAAGCCAATGTTACCTCAATACAATTTAAAAAAAAAAGAAATACCAATTCCTGGTCCCCCCTCAGGGGTTCAAT